CATGACGCCATTGTAACCCATGACGCCATTGTAACCCATGACGCCATTGTAACCCATGACGCCATTGTAACCCATGACGCCATTGTAACCCATGACGCCATTGTAACCCATGACGCCATTGTAACCCATGACGCCATTGTAACCCATGACGCCATTGTAACCCATGACGCCATTGTAACCCATGACGCCATTGTAACCCATGACGCCATTGTAACCCATGACGCCATTGTAACCCATGACGCCATTGTAACCCATGACGCCATTGTAACCCATGACGCCATTGTAACCCATGACGCCATTGTAACCCATGACGCCATTGTAACCCATGACGCCATTGTAACCCATGACGCCATTGCAACCCATGACGCCATTGTAACCCATGACGCCATTGTAACCCATGACGCCATTGTAACCCATGACGCCATTGTAACCCATGACGCCATTGTAACCCATGACGCCATTGTAACCCATGACGCCATTGTAACCCATGACGCCATTGTAACCCATGACGCCATTGTAACCCATGACGCCATTGTAACCCATGACGCCATTGTAACCCATGACGCCATTGTAACCCATGACGCCATTGTAACCCATGACGCCATTGTAACCCATGACGCCATTGTAACCCATGACGCCATTGTAACCCATGACGCCATTGTAACCCATGACGCCATTGTAACCCATGACGCCATTGTAACCCATGACGCCATTGTAACCCATGACGCCATTGTAACCCATGACGCCATTGTAACCCATGACGCCATTGTAACCCATGACGCCATTGTAACCCATGACGCCATTGTAACCCATGACGCCATTGTAACCCATGACGCCATCGTAACCCATGATGCCATTGTAACCCATGACGCCATTGTAACCCATGACGCCATTGTAACCCATGACGCCATTGTAACCCATGACGCCATTGTAACCCATGACGCCATTGTAACCCATGACGCCATTGTAACCCATGACGCCATTGTAACCCATGACGCCATTGTAACCCATGACGCCATTGTAACCCATGACGCCATCGTAACCCATGACGCCATTGTAACCCATGACGCCATTGTAACCCATGACGCCATTGTAACCCATGACGCCATTGTAACCCATGACGCCATTGTAACCCATGACGCCATTGTAACCCATGACGCCATCGTAACCCATGACGCCATCGTAACCCATGACGCCATTGTAACCCATGACGCCATTGTAACCCATGACGCCATTGTAACCCATGACGCCATTGTAACCCATGACGCCATTGTAACCCATGACGCCATTGTAACCCATGACGCCATTGTAACCCATGACGCCATTGTAACCCATGACGCCATTGTAACCCATGACGCCATTGTAACCCATGACGCCATTGTAACCCATGACGCCATTGTAACCCATGACGCCATTGTAACCCATGACGCCATCGTAACCCATGACGCCATTGTAACCCATGACGCCATTGTAACCCATGACGCCATTGTAACCCATGACGCCATTGTACATACCCATGACGCCATTGTAACCCATGACGCCATTGTAACCCATGACGCCATTGTAACCCATGACGCCATTGTAACCCATGACGCCATTGTAACCCATGACGCCATTGTAACCCATGACGCCATTGTAACCCATGACGCCATTGTAACCCATGACGCCATTGTAACCCATGACGCCATTGTAACCCATGACGCCATTGTAACCCATGACGCCATTGTAACCCATGACGCCATTGTAACCCATGACGCCATTGTAACCCATGACGCCATTGTAACCCATGACGCCATTGTAACCCATGACGCCATTGTAACCCATGACGCCATTGTAACCCATGACGCCATTGTAACCCATGACGCCATTGTAACCCATGACGCCATTGTAACCCATGACGCCATTGTAACCCATGACGCCATTGTAACCCATGACGCCATTGTAACCCATGACGCCATTGTAACCCATGACGCCATTGTAACCCATGACGCCATTGTAACCCATGACGCCATTGTAACCCATGACGCCATTGTAACCCATGACGCCATTGTAACCCATGACGCCATTGTAACCCATGACGCCATTGTAACCCATGACGCCATTGCAACCCATGACGCCATTGTAACCCATGACGCCATTGTAACCCATGACGCCATTGTAACCCATGACGCCATTGCAACCCATGACGCCATTGTAACCCATGACGCCATTGTAACCCATGACGCCATTGTAACCCATGACGCCATTGTAACCCATGACGCCATTGTAACCCATGACGCCATTGTAACCCATGACGCCATTGTAACCCATGACGCCAGTGTAACCTATGACGCCATTGTAACCCATGACGCCATTGTAACCCATGACGCCATTGTAACCCATGACGCCATTGTAACCCATGACGCCATTGTAACCCATGACGCCATTGTAACCCATGACGCCATTGTAACCCATGACGCCATTGTAACCCATGACGCCATTGTAACCCATGACGCCATTGTAACCCATGACGCCATTGTAACCCATGACGCCATTGCAACCCATGACGCCATTGCAACCCATGACGCCATTGCAACCCATGACGCCATTGTAACCCATGACGCCATTGTAACCCATGACGCCATTGTAACCCATGACGCCATTGTAACCCATGACGCCATTGTAACCCATGACGCCATTGTAACCCATGACGCCATTGTAACCCATGACGCCAGTGTAACCCATGACGCCATTGTAACCCATGACGCCATTGTAACCCATGACGCCATTGTAACCCATGACGCCATTGTAACCCATGACGCCATTGTAACCCATGACGCCATTGTAACCCATGACGCCATTGTAACCCATGACGCCATTGTAACCCATGACGCCATTGTAACCCATGACGCCATTGTAACCCATGACGCCATTGTAACCCATGACGCCATTGTAACCCATGACGCCATTGTAACCCATGACGCCATTGTAACCCATGACGCCATTGTAACCCATGACGCCATTGTAACCCATGACGCCATTGTAACCCATGACGCCATTGTAACCCATGACGCCATTGTAACCCATGACGCCATTGTAACCCATGACGCCATTGTAACCCATGACGCCATTGTAACCCATGACGCCATTGTAACCCATGACGCCATCGTAACCCATGACGCCATTGTAACCCATGACGCCATTGTAACCCATGACGCCATTGTAACCCATGACGCCATTGTAACCCATGACGCCATTGTAACCCATGACGCCATTGTAACCCATGACGCCATTGTAACCCATGACGCCATCGTAACCCATGACGCCATTGTAACCCATGACGCCATTGTAACCCATGACGCCATTGTAACCCATGACGCCATTGTAACCCATGACGCCATTGTAACCCATGACGCCATTGTAACCCATGACGCCATTGTAACCCATGACGCCATTGCAACCCATGACGCCATTGTAACCCATGACGCCATTGTAACCCATGACGCCATTGTAACCCATGACGCCATTGTAACCCATGACGCCATTGTAACCCATGACGCCATTGTAACCCATGACGCCATTGTAACCCATGACGCCATTGTAACCCATGACGCCATTGTAACCCATGACGCCATTGTAACCCATGACGCCATTGTAACCCATGACGCCATTGTAACCCATGACGCCATTGTAACCCATGACGCCATTGTAACCCATGACGCCATTGTAACCCATGACGCCATTGTAACCCATGACGCCATTGTAACCCATGACGCCATTGTAACCCATGACGCCATTGTAACCCATGACGCCATTGTAACCCATGACGCCATTGTAACCCATGACGCCATTGTAACCCATGACGCCATTGTAACCCATGACGCCATTGTAACCCATGACGCCATTGTAACCCATGACGCCATTGTAACCCATGACGCCATTGTAACCCATGACGCCATTGTAACCCATGACGCCATTGTAACCCATGACGCCAGTGTAACCCATGACGCCATTGTAACCCATGACGCCATTGTAACCCATGACGCCATTGTAACCCATGACGCCATTGTAACCCATGACGCCATTGTAACCCATGACGCCATTGTAACCCATGACGCCATTGTAACCCATGACGCCATTGTAACCCATGACGCCATTGTAACCCATGACGCCATTGTAACCCATGACGCCATTGTAACCCATGACGCCATTGTAACCCATGACGCCATTGTAACCCATGACGCCATTGTAACCCATGACGCCATTGTAACCCATGACGCCATTGTAACCCATGACGCCATTGTAACCCATGACGCCATTGTAACCCATGACGCCATTGTAACCCATGACGCCATTGTAACCCATGACGCCATTGCAACCCATGACGCCATTGCAACCCATGACGCCATTGTAACCCATGACGCCATTGTAACCCATGACGCCATTGCAACCCATGACGCCATGACCACATAGGGAACGCCTTCCGGCCTGTCTTTGCCAGCCTCGTGAACCACTCTCTCACCCCTTTCCCTTCCTCCCCTCCTCCCTCGCCTATCACGGTAGGCGAGGGGCTTCATCGTCAACTCCATAGCCCTGCACGACCACATAGGGGGTGCCCTCCTCTCTGTATTTGCCAACCTTGGGGATGCCCTGCGCCCTGTCTTTTGAAACATCGGGGGATGCCCTCCGCGCTGTCTACTTTAGCCTGACACATTGTGACGCCCCCTTCCCTACCCGTTTCCTCCCATTCAGATCTCACTGCGAGATGGCACTGATTTTATCATCGACGCCATTGCCCTGCATGACCACATAGGGGATGCTCTCCAGCCCGTCTTTGCCAACCCGGTTGTCAGCAGCCACCCTCTCTCCCCTTGCCCTCCCTCCCTGCTCGCCTTCCCCAGCCTCCCCTAACTCCAGATTTCCACCCAGGCTGGGGGAGACTTTGTCGTCGACGCCATTGTCCTGCATGACCATGTAGGGGACGCCCTGCGCCCTGTTTTTTCAATCACCATGAAGTCACCATGAATGAGTGGTTTCAATCTGATTGTTTTGAAACCCCTTTCTCACTCCAGATCTCCACCCCGGCAGGGGATGACTATATCGTCGACGCCATTGCTCTGCACGACCACATAGGAGATGCGCTTCGCCCCGTCTTTGCCAACCCGGCCGTCATCTATTCCACGGGGCGGACTCCGACGTGCTCTGGCTGCAGAGGGACTTTCACATCTACACTGTGAACCTATTTGACACGGCACGGGTAAGCATGCGTGTGCCCTCATGTGCTCATGGACAGAGAGGGGTGCATCTCATTTCTCACAGTCTTGCCAACCCGGCCGTCACAAAGCTATTCCACGGGGCGGACTCCGACGTGCTCTGGCTGCAGAGGGACTTTCACATCTACACTGTGAACCTCTTTGACACGGCACGGGTAAGCATGCGGCTGTCCTTGCATGTGATGTGGAATCCCTGATCGCAGTGTCCCCTCCTTGTACCCTGCTGTCACAAAGCTGTTCCACGGGGCCAGCTCTGATGTGCTCTGGCTGCAAAGGGACTTTCACATCTACACTGTCAACCTGTTCGACACAGCACGGGTGAGCACACATGTGCCCTCATGTGCTCGTATACAGAGTGGCGTGAATCTCATCTCCTTGTCTTTGCCAGCCCTTGCATCACAAAGCTGTTCCACGGGGCGGACTCTGATGTGCTCTGGCTGCAGAGATACTTCCACATAACGTGCTCGTGCTCTGGCCACATGGTGTTTCGGGATCGCAGTGGCCTTGTTGCAGTGCTGTGCGATGTAACACCATGTGGCCACTGCGATGTAACACCATGTGGCCACTGCGATGTAACTCCATGTGGCCACTGCGATGTAACACCATGTGGCCACTGCGATGTAACACCATGTGGCCACTGCGATGTAACACCATGTGGCCACTGCGATGTAATCTGGCTACAAAGGACTTCCACATCCACAAAGTCCACAAAAAAAAGGACAAGCAAAGTTAACCTCCCTCTTGATGTTTCCTTATTTTTCCTTCTCTTTTATTTGCTTGTCCTTTTTTTTATGTGCAGGCCTGCTCGGTACTGAACAAGCCGTACCGTTCGCTCGCGTTTCTCCTGGACCACTACTGCCACGTCAGCACCGACAAGCGACACATTCAAATGGTTTACCTGTCTGTCTATTTTTTTTTTTTTTTCTGCTTGCAGGCCTGCTCGGTTCTCAACAAGCCGTACCGCTCCCTCGCGTTCCTCCTGGACCACTACTGCCACGTCAGCACCGACAAGCGCCTGCAGCTGGCCGACTGGCGCCGCCGCCCGCTGCCGCCCGCAATGCTACAGTACGCCTGCACGGACTCGCACTACCTGCCGTACATCGCCGGCCAGCTGCGGTGGGAGCTCGTACAGGCAGACACAGGGGGAGAGGGGGGTGCAGGAGTATCTGCAAACGGGAAGGGAGAAAAAGCAGCAGGAGGAGGAGCAGCAGTGGCAGCAGCAGCAGCAGCAGGAGCAGGGGGTGGAGGCAGGAGAGGGTCTAGGGCGGGGCACAGCAGTGGATCCAAGTATGAAGAGGCAGTGAGGAGGTCAAACGCGCTGTGCCTGCAGCTGTATGAGAAGCCAGGGGAGAGGAGCGCTGGCGCTGCTGGTGGTGCAGTTGGAGAGGCCGTGAGAGAGAGGAGAGAGAGGGGGGAGGTGATTGGAGGGAGTGCTGAGGCGGCAGCAGCAGCTGCGGCAACACTTTTCCGCCAGCTGTTAGGCGTCTGTGGGTATGTGGGAGGTGCCGCGCTTTCAGGTGGGCCTTCAGGTGATTCTGCTGGTTCAGGTGCTGCTTCTGCGGCACCTGACGCTGCTGCCACGTCAGCGGGTCAGACGACGTCGGATCGGTCCCAGGTGTTACGGGAAGTGAGGGCCGTGCTCGATGCGGTAACCAGATGGCGCGACACTGTAGCACGGGAAGAAGACGAAAGCCTGCGGTTCCTCCTTGCTGATGTGGCAGTGGTCGCCGTGGCGCTCCTACGGCCTACCACGTGTCAAGAGCTGATTGGGTGCGTGGGAAAGGCCATGGCAGCCGCCGCTGCACTCACCCCGCCGTCTATGCGAGAAGAGGCCGGCGTTCCTCGGCCTATTCAAGGAGGGGGAAGTGGAGGGGAGGCTGGAACACTTGAGCCAACAGAAGGAGTTACCTCGTCAGCAGTAGCGGAACAACAGGCTACTCCATCTCAGCCCGCTTCACCTTCCCCCTCGCCTCCTCTCGTCCGTCGATCTCCCGAGCTGGTTGCGCTGATCACCGCCACGTGTCGCGACGTGAGAGGCGGCAACGAGGGGGTGCATGGTACAGCAGGAGCAGCAGAGCCAAACAGTACAGCAGCAGCAGTGAATGGGGGAGCTGAAAGGGCAGTGGCAGCAGCGGCAGCAGTGATTGGGGGGACTGAAAGGGCAGTGGCAGTAGCGGCTGCAGTGCAGGCCAGACTAGCAGAGATCTCGTTTCTCCTCGCCCCGGTGGTCATTCAACAGAGGGCGCCAGCAGCCATGCAGGAGGCGTGGCTAGAAGAAGCAGTCGCTCTCACTGCTGCTGCTGCCGTCTCAGGCAACCTCTCCGCTGCTGCTGCTGCCGCTGCTTCTGCTGCTGGTGCTGGTGCTGCTGCCAGTGGTTCTTCTGCAGAGGAAGGGGAAATCTTGCCTTCTGATTCATCCCACCAGCATCCCAACCACCCTCACACCCACCACACTCACCCCCACCACCCCCACCACTACCGCCCTCACCAAAACTTTCGGCTGCCCAAGCGGTGGCAGCGGGCACGCGACCCGAACCAGGCTCGGGCAAACTTCATAAAAAAATTCTCCTGCCAAGGCCCAGTATATGAGAACTGCCGGATCTACAGCAGGGATGGGCGGTTGCTGTGCTTCTGTGATAAGCGGAAGCTGGAGTGGTACGTGGGGCGGGGTTTGGCTGAGTATGTGACTGTTGACATGCTGCCGTCGCTGCAGGGGGCTGAGGAGACAGGGTTGGGGGCGAAGGGAGAAGCGGAAGTGGGATCTGCTGCTGCTGATGATGATGGTAGTGATGCAGCTGCTGCTGCTACAGAGGCTGCTGCTACAGAGGCTGCAGTTGCTGCTGCTACAGATGATGCAGTTGCTGCTGCTACAGATGATGCAGTTGCTGCTGCTACAGATGATGCAGTTGCTGCTGCTACAGATGATGCAGTTGCTGCTGCTACAGATGATGCAGTTGCTGCTGCTACAGATGATGCAGTTGCTGCTGCTACAGATGATGCAGTTGCTGCTGCTACAGATGATGCAGTTGCTGCTGCTACAGATGATGCAGTTGCTGCTGCTGAAGGTGCTACTGCTGAAGGTGCTACTGCTGAAGGTGCTACTGCTGCTGCCATTACTGATAGCACTGCCCCGACAGCAACAGACCTTCCACCCACCCCACTCCCCCCGAACCTCGCCTCACCTCTCTCCGTCCGCTTACTCTTCCAACCCAAGGGCCGCCCAGAAGACGACGAAAACGAATTTTACATCCAATCCAAGTCCAACCGCTGCGTCTCCTGTGGGGAATCCACCCACTACCTACGCTACCGCCTCGTGCCCTCCTGCTACCGCCATGCGTTCCCCGAGCATCTGAAGTCGCACCGGAGCCATGATATTGTGCTGCTGTGCGTTGATTGCCATGACGTGGCACATCGTGCGGCAGAGATCTTCAAGAGGGAGGTGGCGCGGAGGTTCGGGGTTCCGTTGCTGCTGTCGCCGCTGGATCGGAGGTTCGGGGGAGGGTCGGGTGAGAGTGGGGGGGAGGAGGGGGGAGAAGGGGCGGGAGAGGGGGAAAGTGTAGTTGGGGATGGGGCAGGGAGGGAGAAGGGAGAAGGTGGGGAGAAGGAGGGAGGTGGGGAGATGGAGGGTGAGGGGAGTGTGAGTGGTGAGCGGAAAGGGGGAAGGGATGCGAGAGTGGAAGCAGCGTTTCTTTTGAACGATGCTGCCCGGTCAGCAGTGGCGGTTTTACGGCACGGGGCATCGCTGCCCGATAGCAGACTCTGCGAGCTGCTGCTGCCCGTGTGGAAAGTTTTGAAGCGGGCAGCGGGCAGCCCGGTAAAAATCGAGGAGCTGGAGATGGTGGTGCAGGCAGGGAAGGGGACCAGAGTGCGGGCAGGAAAAAGAAAAGGGCTGCCCGTTGTGGGCCAAAGGGAGGTCCTACAGAAAGCCTTAGCTAGCCTGGGTGGAGGGGGAGGGGGAGAGGGAGGAGAGAGAGAGGGGAATGAGGTCAAGGGGGTGGATGCTGGTGCGAGTGAGGGAGTGAGTGAGAAAGAGAGTGAGGGAGTGAGCGACCAATCCGGCAAGACTGAAGAGGAGGTTACCCTGGGACTAGCAGCACCAGACCTCACCTCACTCAACCTCTCTGCAACCCCCACCATCGAGCCAGTCCCTTTGCGTGGCCACTGGGAGCACGGAACCAAGGTTGTAGCGCTGCTGCTGGCGGGGGGTGGGGAGGCGGGGATAAGGGAGTTCACGCAGCAGTGGCGCGAGGTGTTTGTAGCGGCGCTACAGCCGCGCTTCCTGCCGCCCGGGTGGGACGTGCAGCACCTGGGGCGGCGGCAGTTTGGGGAGTTTTCCGTTTATAACCCGCAGAGAAGGAGGTATGTGCGGGGTGAAGAAGGAGGAGGGGAGGAAGTTTGAGGAACCTGAGTTCTTGGCAGGGGGAAGGCGGGGATAAGGGAGTTCACGCAGCAGTGGAGGGAGGTGTTTGTAGCGGCGCTACAGCCGCGCTTCCCGCCGCCCGGGTGGGACGTGCAGCACCTCGGGCGAATGCAGTTTGGGGGAATTCTCTGTGTATAACCCTCAGAAGCGTAGGTATGTGCAGGGTGGAGGGGATGGAGGGGAGGGAGGGGATGGGGGAAGGGGGAAGGGAGGAGAGGGAGGGGAGGGAGGAGTCAAGGGAGTAGGGGAGGGAGGGGAAGGGGAAGAGGAGAGGTTTTAAGCCACTCCGAAACCCGGTTTATTGCCTCCAGGGGAGGAGGAGGAGGTGGGAGAGGAGTAGCGTAACCCGCCAAGGTGGGACGTGCAACACGTGGGGCGAAGGCAGAGGAGGAGGTATGTGAAGGATGGAGGGGATGAGGGAGGAGGGGAGGGGAGGGGAGGGGAGGGGAGGGGAGGGGAGGGGCTTTAAAGCCGTGGCCCAACTATCAGCTTGAGTTCAAAGTATTCTAGCTTGGAAGATGGTTGACCGAGGCAGTTCAGAGGCGAGAGGTTTGTCCTCTTATGGATTTCCAGCTTTTTCGTCCAATAGAATTCAAGTTACTCACATGCCATTTTTGTCCCCCTACTGTTCCTAGGAGGTTGCACCCCGCCTTTAAGCCATGTTGAGACATTTTTCTGGTGTAAGGACTGCATAGGAGGAGGTGGGAGAGGGGGAGTAGAATCCCACCCGGGTGGGACGTGCAGCACCTGAAGGGAAGGCAGTTTGTGTCAGAGGTCCACTGATGATCCCCGATTGATCCTAAGGAAGGGTTACAGGCTCGTCGTCCTGGAGGGTCATGGGCGCACTGACCCGCTACTTAACAAGCCATTTTATCCCAATGGTCTAGTGGTTGGGATTCTGACATGGTATTAGAGCGAAGGTCTCGGGTTCGAATCCCAGTGTGTGCACTTCGGGCATCCCTATGCGGGGGGGTGTCAGAGGTCCACTGGTGATCCTCGATTGATCCTAAGGAAGGGTTACAGGCTCGTCGTCCTGGAGGGTCATGGGCGCACTAACCCGCTACTTAACAAGCCATTTTATCCCAATGGTCTAGTGGTTGGGATTCTGAAAGTTTGGGGTGTTCATGGTAAAAAAACCCGCCGAAGCAGCGGTATGTGCAGGGAGGAGGGAGGAGAGGGAGGAGATGGAGGAGGATGGGAAGGAGGGGGGGGAGGGGAGGGAGGAGGGGGAGAAGGGAAGGAGGAATTGTAAGGTACACCACAATGGTATGCTGGTTGGTGAATGAGGGCATGTGGGAAGAGTGGAATGGGACGGGACGGGAGGGATGGGAAAAAAGGGGAATGGAGGGGGGAGGAGGAAATGTTTTGAGCCCACAAGTGCAGGGAGGTTATAGTGAGGAAAATGTCCTATGTACTTGGGATGTTCAGTTGTTTTATGTGTGGTGGTTTAAAATTTATATGACAGTCAAATTTGTAAAGCAAATGTAAGTTACCCGTAAGTGCATTTGAAGCATATCAAAACTTGTACTGTGATTAACTGCCCATCGTTTTAAATAACAAAATGAATGTACTTAGCTGTTAGGTACAAGAGGCGTGAGAGTGAACTTAGAAGACTACACCTGATTCTAAAAGCTACGAACCTTGCTCTTATATCGAAAACCAATCCTCTTATATCAGTTCCCTCATCACCTCCACCGCGTTCCCTTCACAGCGAAACAGCATCTCTGCGCACTCCCAGCCGTGTCCTCTTTATAACCCGTGTCACTTTTAGAATAAAGCCGGAAACTCTGATTTGGTTGGCGTAGAAGGCGAATACGCGCCAATGGTGGGACCGCTAGGGCAATACCGCTCTGGACCCCTCCAAACCGAGCCGCCATCAGCCTTTCCAGCCTCATTTCCCGTCGAGATCGAGTGGGGATTGGGCAATGAGCTTCTGATCTGCGCGCCCGCCGCATCTGTCGCCGCGTCCGACGGCGCGATTCCAGGAAGGTCGGACGACCGGCATGATGACGTGGCGGGACGCGGGTCGGCCGTCGTCAGCGTGACGTGGGCCGACACGTCATCGTTCCACCGGCAGATCGCCGCGGGGGTGTCGTCGTTGTACGGGCGACTGCAGGCGGCGATTGCGGTGGAAATGGCGGAGGAAGCGGAAGACGCGGAAATCGACGAGCTGCGCGAGAGGTAGGTCGTGTGTTGAGACTGTCTCGAAGCGCGTATGGCTACGTTTAAGTCTTGACGCGCCTCACAGGTTAAGGGGGTGGGGCGAGGGAGGGGATAGGGGGAGGCGGAGGGGGGAAGGGAGGGGATAAGGGGAGGGGGAAGCGGGGAGGGTGGGGGGAGCGGAGCACGCTGGAGGCGAGAGACGCGAGGGGAGGGAGTGAAGTGAAGGGCGAAGGAGTGAGGAGAGGAGGGGAGGGGGGGGGGAGGGCAGGGGGAAGGGAGGGGGAGGGGGAGGGGTTCAGCCTGGTGCAGTGACATGACATGACATGACATGACATGACATGACATGACATGAACCACCCTTGAGTTGAGACATTGAGTCGTATACGTCACTTTAATTAGCTTTCCATTCTCGGCATGCCATACATATTGTTTCAATCGTATAAATGGCATGTTCTCAAATGAATTTTCAAAAGTTGTTTCTTCCTTTCTTTCCCTCAAAATTTAGTTCCTTCGAGAGAGGGAGAAAAAAGTTTCCGTTCTCATCCTTGTGTCGCTCCTCCAGATGGCGACACGTCAGCAGGTGGTCTCGCCACGTCAGCAGGCTCCTCTCTCCTCCGTCCGCCCACTCCACGCTGGCAGCTGCGCGCGCCTCCCCCCACTCCCTCGGGATCTCCGCCGCTGACCCTTTTGCAGCGATAGACGCTGAGGAGGAGTGGGACGACGAGGTTGGCGGGTTGGAGGTGGGGTGGAGGTGGAGGGGGGGGTGTTGTTGTGAGAGTCAGTTGAGAAGCATGATGAAGCACTCTCCCTTTGGATTTTAGCCGTTGAGCTGTTTGTGTGGATAGATGCAGAGGACGGCTGGCAGGATAAGGTGGGATGTATGAAGCATGCATATGGGCGCCTTTTGTGGTTTTGAGACGTCTCAAAGCTCAAAAGTCGTACATAGGGCGTTTAAATTCGCTGCAACGGATTCGATTTCGTTTGCCTCTCTGCCTTTTCTTATTGTCCCCCCCCTCCGCTACCCCCCTGCCTGCCAACCCATCAACCAACCAGTCTGTGCCACGTGGCATCAGCCAGGGTGAGCTGGCAGCCGTCTGGGACCTCCTCCGCCTCTGCTTCCTTCCCGACCACACACCTGGCGCTGCTGACGTGGACAGTGACATGGACACTCGCATGGGTGGTGGTGCTGACGTGGACAGTGCATTCAGGGGAGCAAGAGGAGGAGTAGGGGGTATCAGGGGGATGGAGGCAGGTGGCAGGGACGGCAGCAACAGCTTCCGTTCCTCTCCTCCCTCCTCTTACCCACTCCTCTTACCTCCTCCCTCTGCTGCCTCTTCCACCCCCATCTGTCAACCCTTTGTCTCCTGGCTAGCTGTGAGTGGAACCATTGTTTCGATTTCCGCTCAAGTAATCATTCCCATCTCTTACTCCTCTCCGCCGTCCTCCTTTCCGCCCCCCCTGCCTCGTTCCTCTGCTGCTGCTTCATCCCACGCCTGTCAGCACTTCGTCCCTCTCCTCCTTTTCTCTGCTCCCTCACACGTTTTATTTTTTCTACTCTTCTCACCGCCTCCCGTTGCTGCTCCAGCTCTTTTTTTGCACCCTCCTTCCCCGTCCCTCAGACACTCCCCCAACCCATTTGCTTCTTTGGTCGCAGTGAAACCACCTTCTTTCTTCTCTTGTATTTTAACTTTGCTTCTTATTTTCGTTCATTTCTCGTCTCTTCCCTCCCATTTTTCCCCACCCCTCCCCCACCCCACCCCTCCCCCTCCCCACCCCTCCCCTCCCCCACCCCACCCTTCCTCACCCCACCCCTTCCCCACCCCACCCCTTTCCACCCCTCCCCACCCCTCCCCCCTCCCTCCCCACTTTCCCCTCCCCCTTCCCCACTTCCTTCTCCCCCTCCCCCCCTCAACAGCAATACAACGCATCGCTCCCTCCTTGCAACACGTCCACGTCAGCACGCCTCCGGTCCTTGCGGGATCAAATGAGCCAATCAGAGGTGAGCGGGCAGCTTTTCTCGGGTTCCTTATGGATCGACTGAGCATCATGTCTCTCTCTTCGACTGGAAATTATTTTACACTTACCCTCTTCCCTCCCCCTTCCCATCCGCTTCCTACCATACCATCGTCCCACTCTTGTCTGATTTTTGTTCCTGATTTTGCATTCCCCTGATATGCTTTCCGTTTTTCCTCCTCTCGCTCCTCTTCCTCCCTTCCTTTCCCTCCCTTTCCGTTTTTCCTCTCCTCCTTCATCGTTTCCCCCTCCTCTCGCTCATCTTTTCCCCCTCCTCCTCTCGCTCATCTTTTCCCCCTCCTCTCGCTCTTCTTTTCCCCCTCCTCCTCTTGCTCATCTTTTCCCCCTCCTCTCGCTTATCTTTTCCCCCTCCTCCTGCTCATCTTTTCCCCCTCCTCTTGCTCATCTTTTCGCCCTTCCGCTCCCTCTTCTCTCCTCTTCTTCCTCCTCTCCCCTCTATCATCTTCCGTCTCCCACCAGGCCATACCTCCAGAGGTTCTTGAGCCCTATTGGCCGGCTGTGGCTTCCTGCGCTGCGATTGGCTGGAGAGACACAGCGGTATGTTGTCTTTTCTTCTGTCCTTCTTTGAAACCCTTTTTTTCCAAGTATTAAAGAAGATTACTACACCTTTCTTTCGGTTCCGGTTGCCAGGGAAGTCAGTAGTTTCAACTTTTGAGGTGGTGCATCAGTATTTTTACAAGTAATCACACGCACGGCTTTCCATAGATTGCATTTGCTCAGGTGGTTCAGAGGGAAGCGGAGAACGGGCTGGTAGAAAGAAGCCACGGCTTTTGAGGCGCCTCAAAAGTAGAAAAAGCAGTGGCAGTGCTGCTGGCCGAGATGCCCACTCACCCCCTCCCCACTTCGCTCCCTCCCTGCCTTCTCCCTCCCCATCACCTGCACTCGCTCTCCCAGACGGCTCTACTGCGTTTGCACTCATCCTATCGTGAGGACCAAGTGGTCCAACGAGAAGCGGAGAACGGGCTTGTAGAGGCCGTGGCAGTGCTGCTGGCCAACATGCCAATTCACCCCCTCTCCTTCCCCACTCCTCCCCCTCCCCTTCCCCTTCCCCTGCTCCCAGACGGCTCTACTGCGTTTGCACTCGTCATACCGAGAGGACCAGGTCATTCAGAGGGAGGCAGAGAACGGGCTGGTGGAAGCAGTGGCAGTGCTGCTGGCCGAGATGCCCATTCTATTCAACCCCTCTCCTTTCCCTCTCCACCCACTCCCTTCCCTTCCCACTTCCCACCCTCCCCTTCCCCTGCGCCCAGACGGCTCTACTTTGGTTGCACTCATCATACAGAGAGGACCAGGTGATTCAGCGAGAAGCGGAGAACGGGCTGGTGGAGGCAGTGGCAGTACTGCTGGCGGAGATGCTCACTCATCCTATCGCGAGGACCAAGTCATTCAAAGGGAGGCCGAGAACGGGCTGGTGAAAGCAGTGGCAGTGCTGCTGGCGGAGATGCTCACTCACCCCCTCCCCGTCCCGCTCCTCCCCACTTGCTACCACTCCCAGACGGCTCTGCTCCGCCTGCATTCATCCTATCGCGAGGACCAACTCATTCAGAGGGAGGCCGAGAACGGGCTGGTGGAAGCAGTGGCAGTGCTGCTGGCCGAGATGCCCATGCCGCTTGAGCCAATGGCAGCGCACGACGCTGCTGAGGTGTCGGCGTACCACAGGGTAAGCTCAGCTCTGCGTCAGAGTGGTTCGTGAGTGTTCTTGCCAGCGTGGCTTGTCAGTGTTGCTGTTGCTCTTGCTCCTTCAATCCGGGGACAAGCAGATGGTTCCAGCTTCACACCCAACCTGACCTGACCTACCCCCCCTCTTTCCCCCACCCACCCACCCTCCCATTCTTACACCTAAAACCCCTCTTATCCCTCTCACCCTCTCACACCTTGCAGCATCGCGACCATTGGAGGAATCGCCTTGCTCGCCTCAAGGAGAGCCCCTTCTGGGCAGCGGCAGATGTGCCGGCCACCGAGAGAGCGCTGCTCACCCTGCTGGACCTGCTGCCTTAGACCCCGATGCACACCCAATCTCACCATGTTAAGCCCCAACTCCAACACTTCCTGGCTTGCAGCAGCGCGATTATTGGAGGAACAGACTCGCTCGCCTCAAGGCCAGTCCTTTCTGGGCGGCAGCAGACGCGCCGGCCACTGAGGGAGCGCTGCTCGCCCTGCTGGACCTGCTGCTGGGAGGACCTGCTGAGCCTTAAATCATCGAATCTCACCCGGCACCTTGGCCCTGCTTGTGTTCTGTTCTGTGCCCTTGGCCCTTGCAGCATCATGACCATTGGAGGAACAGACTCGCGCGGCTGAAAGCCAGCCCCTTCTGGGCGGCAGCAGACGCGCCGGCCACCGAGAGGGCGCTGCTGGACCTGCTCGCCCTGCTGCTGGGAAGCTCACCCCTCTCACCCCTCTCACCCCAAACCCGCTTCCAGCATCACGACCATTGGCGCAACCGTCTCGCACGCCTCAAGGCAAGCCCTTTTTGGCCGGCGGCAGATGCGCCGGCCACCGAGAGGGCGCTGCTCGCCCTGCTCGACCTGCTGTTGGGGAGCTCCCGGGCCGTTGATGACGTGGCGCGCTCCCATTGGCTGGAGCTGCTGGGGGCGCGGCTGTTGCACCAGAACCCGCAGGCGGTGAGTTGAGGGGCTGAGGGGTTGAGATGGGTTGGTTGGGCTGGGTTGGGTTGGGTTGGGTTGGGTTGGGATGGGTTGGGATGGTTTCAGCAAGGACTCACCTTCCTTTCGGCTTGCACCCTCTTACCAAACGATGGCATCAGTGGGAACAGGAAGGCCTTAGCTCCCTTTCCCTTTCCCCCTGCACTTCTTCTTCCTCCCGTTCCCTTTCCAACAAACGGCAGCAGCACAGGCATCACTCGCACTGCAATGCTGGCGAGAAGCGGCAGGTAGCAGAGGGAAGAGGCAAGAGCAAGGCCTCACTCAAATCCCTTTCACCCCTGCACCCTTGTTTCTCCCCTTCTCTTGCCAACAGACAGCAGCAGCACAGGCATCGCTCGCACTGCAATGCTGGCGGGAAGCAGCAGCGGGCGGCGGTGGGAAGAGCGCGGGGACATCCCAGCCGTTGGATGCTTCGGATCTCGTCCAGCCATCGTTGGATCGGCTCATGCTGGCGTCCTTGTGCCATGAAACAGAGGTGGGGAAATGAAACGACGCGATTATACATTTCTTTGCGGTGAAACTACTTGAATAATTTATCGCCTGCCACGTCAGCAGCATGTGTGCCATACCTTCCCAGAAGTCCATGGTTTTGTTTTAGCGGGCCGTTGTTGTCTTTGCTTGAAGCTGCTCGTTTCCATGAAGGTCCTCAGCTGGTTCTCATTCCACTATCCTCGTGTTTTGAGTCGACTCAAACACGTCCTCAGCTGGTTCTCATTCCACTATCCTCCGATCTTGCTCCACCTTCCCTGTTTCTCCTCCATCTTCTGCTGTCTCCCATTGGGCACTGACTGTGCACGGGATGCCATGGCATGGCATGGAGTGACATTACATGGGATGGATGGGATGGGATGGGATGGGATGGGATGGGATGGGATGGGATGGGATGGGATGGGATGGCATGGCATGGCATGGCATGGCATGGCACAACATGGCATGCCCATGCACATGCACATGGCAGGTGGTGGTGTCCATAGCATCTCGACTCCTCCCCTCCTGGTGTGCCCTCCTCCCTCTTCCTTCCCTTACCATTCTCCTTCCTCCCCCAATCCCCTTTCTAATATTGATTTTCATCGTGCTCTCCCCCTTTCCCTAACCCCCCTTTCCCCACACCCACTGTCCTCCTCTCAACACCCATGCGTTTCCACTCGTCACTCCATTGAGTTTCCTTTCTCCCTCCAACCGCGTTCCTTCTCCGCTCCTGATTGCATCTCCCCCTTTTCTTATCATCCTCCTTGTTGCCCCCGCAGTTATCTCTGCTGCCTTCCGACTATCCTCTCCCCTCCCCCACGTCCCTCTCATCCACCCCCTCCTCCCCCTTAGGTCCCCCTTTTGATTTTTCTTTTCTTCAAATCTGAACTTGCAGATTCTAATGGCCCGGAATATTAGCCGTCGTCTTTAGCAAGCTTGCTTGCATGCTGACACTCCGCTCCTCGCCATCCCTCGCCATCCCTCGCCATCCCTCGCCATCCCTCGCCATCCCTCGCCATCCCTCGCCATCCCTCGCCATCCCTCGCCATCCCTCGCCATCCCTCGCCATCCCTCGCCATCCCTCGCCATCCCTCGCCATCCCTCGCCATCCCTCGCCATCCCTCGCCATCCCTCGCCATCCCTCGCCATCCCTCGCCATCCCTCGCCATCCCCTCGCCATCCCTCGCCATCCCTCGCCATCCCTCGCCATCCCTCGCCATCCCTCGCCATCCCTCGCCATCCCTTCGCCATCCCTCGCCATCCCTCGCCATCCCTCGCCCATCCCTCGCCATCCCTCGCCATCCCCTCGCCATCCCTCGCCATCCCTCGCCATCCCTCGCCATCCCTCGCCATCCCTCGCCATCCCTCGCCATCCCTCCGCCATCCCTCGCCATCCCTCGCCATCCCTCGCCATCCCTCGCCATCCCTCGCCATCCCCGCCATCCCTCGCCATCCCTCGCCATCCCTCGCCATCCCTCGCCATCCCTCGCCATCCCTCGCCATCCCTCGCCATCCCTCGCCATCCCTCGCCATCCCTCGCCATCCCTCGCCATCCCTCGCCATCCCTCGCCATCCCTCGCCATCCCTCGCCATCCCTCGCCATCCCTCGCCATCCCTCGCCATCCCTCGCCATCCCTCGCATCCCGCCATCCCTCGCCATCCCTCGCCATCCCTCGCCATCCCTCGCCATCCCTCGCCATCCCTCGCCATCCCTCGCCATCCCTCGCCATCCTCGCCATCCCTCGCCATCCCTCGCCATCCCTCGCCATCCCTCGCCATCTCGCCACCCTCGCCATCCCTCGCCATCCCTCGCCATCCCTCGCCATCCCTCGCCATCCCTCGCCATCCCTCGCCATCCCTCGCCATCCCTCGCCATCCCTCGCCCATCCCTCGCCATCCCTCGCCATCCCTCGCCATCCCTCGCCATCCCTCGCCATCCCTCGCCATCCCTCGCCATCCCTCGCCATCCCTCGCCATCCCTCGCCATCCCTCGCCATCCCTCGCCATCCCTCGCCATCCCTCGCCATCCCTCGCCATCCCTCGCCATCCCTCGCCATCCCTCGCCATCCCTCGCCATCCCTCGCCATCCCTCGCCATCCCTCGCCATCCCTCGCCATCCCTCGCCATCCCTCGCCATCCCTCGCCATCCCTCGCCATCCCTCCGCATCCCTCGCCATCCCTCGCCTCCCTCGCCCATCCCTGCATCCCCGCCATCCCTCGCCATCCCTCGCCCATCCCTCGCCATCCCTCGCCATCCCTCGCCATCCCTCGCCATCCCTTCGCCATCCCTCGCCATCCCTTCGCCATCCCTCGCATTCCCTCGCCATCCCTCCGCATCCCTCGCCATCCCTCGCCAATCCCTGCCATCCCTGCCATCCCTCGCCATCCCCTCGCCATCCTCGCCATCCTCGCCATCCCTCGCCATCCTGCCATCCTCGCCATCCCTCGCCCATCCCTCGCCATCCCTCGCCATCCCTCGCCATCCCTCGCCATCCCTCGCCATCCCTCGCCATCCCTCGCCATCCCCTCGCCATCCCTCGCCCATCCCTCGCCATCCCTCGCCATCCCTCGCCATCCCTCGCCATCCCTCGCCATCCCTCGCCATCCCGCCATCCCTCGCCATCCCTCGCGCATCCCTCGCCAATCCCTCGCCATCCCTCGCCATCCCTCTGCCACTTCCCTCGCCATCCCTCGCCATCCCCTCGCCTATTCCCTCGCCATCCCTCGCCATCCCTCGCCATCCCTCGCCATCCCTCGCCATCCCTCGCCATCCCTCGCCATCCCTCGCCATCCCTCGCCATCCCTCGCCATCCCTCGCCATCCCTCGCCATCCCTCGCCATCCCTCGCCCTCCCTCGCCATCCCTCGCCCATCCCTCGCCATCCCTCGCCATCCCTCGCCATCCCTCGCCATCCCTCGCCATCCCTCGCCATCCCTCGCCATCCCTCGCCATCCCTCGCCATCCCCTCGCCATCCCTCGCCATCCCTCGCCATCCCTCGCCATCCCTCGCCATCCCTCGCCATCCCTCGCCATCCCTCGCCATCCCTCGCCATCCCTCGCCATCCCTCGCATCCCTCGCCATCCCTCGCCATCCCTCGCCATCCCTCGCCATCCCTCGCCATCCCTCGCCATCCCAGTCGCCATCCCTCGCCATCCCCTCGCCATCCCTCGCCATCCCTCGCCATCCCTCGCCATCCCTCGCCATCCCTCGCCATCCCTCGCCATCCCTCGCCATCCCTCGCCATCCCTCGCCATCCCTCGCCATCCCTCGCCATCCCTCGCCATCCCTCGCCATCCCTCGCCATCCCTCGCCATCCCTCGCCATCCCTCGCCATCCCTCGCCACCATCGCCATCCCTCGCCATCCCTCGCCATCCCTCGCCATCCCATCGCCATCCCTCGCCATCCCTCGCCATCCCCTCGCCATCCCTCGCCATCCCTCGCCATCCCTCGCCATCCCTCGCCATCCCTCGCCATCCCTCGCCATCCCTCGCCATCCCTCGCCATCCCTCGCATCCCTCGCCATCCCTCGCCATCCCTCGCCATCCCTCGCCATCCCTCGCATCCCTCGCCATCCCCTCGCCATCCCTCGCCATCCCTCGCCATCCCCTCGCCATCCCCCTCGCCATCCCTCGCCATCCCTCGCCATCCCTCGCCATCCCTCGCCATCCCCCGCCATCCCTCGCCATCCCTCGCCATCCCTCGCCATCCCTCGCCATCCCTCGCCATCCCTCGCCATCCCTCGCCATCCCCTCGCCATCCCTCGCCATCCCTCGCCATCCCTCGCCATCCCTCGCCATCCCTCCCTGCCATCCCTCGCCATCCCTCGCCATCCCTCGCCATCCCTCGCCATCCCTCGCCATCCCCTCGCCATCCCTCGCCATCCCTCGCCATCCCTCGCCATCCCTCGCCATCCCCTCGCCATCCCTCGCCATCCCTCGCCATCCCTCGCCATCCCTCGCCATCCCTCGCCATCCCTCGCCATCCCTCGCCATCCCTCGCCATCCCTCGCCATCCCTCGCCATCCCTCGCCATCCCTCGCCATCCCCTCGCCATCCCTCGCCATCCCTCGCCATCCCTCGCCATCCCTCGCCATCCCTCGCCATCCCTCGCCATCCCTCGCCATCCCTCCCTCCTCGCCATCCCTCGCCATCCCTCGCCATCCCTCGCCATCCCTCGCCATCCCTCGCCATCCCTCGCCATCCCTCGCCATCCCTCGCCATCCCTCGCCATCCCTCGCCATCCCTCGCCATCCCTCGCCATCCCTCGCCATCCCTCGCCATCCCTCGCCATCCCTCGCCATCCCTCGCCATCCCTCGCCATCCCTCGCCATCCCTCGCCATCCCTCGCCATCCCTCGCCATCCCTCGCCATCCCTCGCCATCCCTCGCCATCCCTCGCCATCCCTCGCCATCCCTCGCCATCCCTCGCCATCCCTCGCCATCCCTCGCCATCCCTCGCCATCCCTCGCCATCCCTCGCCATCCCTCGCCATCCCTCGCCATCCCTCGCCATCCCTCGCCATCCCTCGCCATCCCTCGCCATCCCTCGCCATCCCTCGCCATCCCTCGCCATCCCTCGCCATCCCTCGCCATCCCTCGCCATCCCTCGCCATCCCTCGCCATCCCTCGCCATCCCTCGCCATCCCTCGCCATCCCTCGCCATCCCTCGCCATCCCTCGCCATCCCTCGCCATCCCTCGCCATCCCTCGCCATCCCTCGCCATCCCTCGCCATCCCTCGCCATCCCTCGCCATCCCTCGCCATCCCTCGCCATCCCTCGCCATCCCTCGCCATCCCTCGCCATCCCTCGCCATCCCTCGCCATCCCTCGCCATCCCTCGCCATCCCCGCCCATCCTCGCCATCCCTCACGCCATCCCTCGCCATCCCTCGCCATCCCTCGCCATCCCTCGCCATCCCTCGCCATCCCTCGCCATCCCTCGCCATCCCTCGCCATCCCTCGCCCATCCCTCGCCATCCCTCGCCATCCCTCGCCATCCCTCGCCATCCCTCGCCATCCCTC